CCCCAAACTCTGAATATGTTAATTGAGATTTTACTATTTATTACTTGACCTATAGATCTATTTATTGTGCTAATCAGGTAAAAGGACAAAAAAAAAAAAAAGCAAATGAAATGCCCCATGTATGTACTGAACCTTTTTGTAACAGAGGTTAGGAATCACTTCTATCTATATGCTACCAAGTTGAAAGTAACTTACCATAACGCAATCCCAGTATAATTGGGAAAATCTATGTTCTCTGACCCAAAGTTCTTTCTAGTAAGTTTTGAACTCTAACACTTTGGCACCTTACTTTAGATGATTCTAAAGTATCTTACAAAAATTAAATACAAATTCTAAATAAATAAATAAATACACACACACACACACACACACACACACACACACACACATCATCTAACTATTCACCACTGTACAAAACTAAGAAAACAAGTTGATAAAAAGGTGAAGATGAATGTGATACCTTCTAATCTCTACTTCATATCCTAGGTATGTTTTACATCTAAAAAATTCATAGACATAAAATAAAATGAACATGTACTTACAGCCTGGGCTTGTTGTTGGAATAATTGATTCTGATTCTCTCTATCTTCTATTCCATCCCCAAGCATCTGGGAAGGAGGTAAACTAGCACTTCCAATAGCAGCATTCAAATTGTTTGGGAAAACACTTGTTCTTTTGGGAGTTAAATGTGCTGGATCTGAAGACTGCATGGCTATAGAGCCTTCTTTTTCTGCCTACACAAAGGAAGAAAGAATTAGATGATTCTAGTGAGATTCCACTCCAATCACATAATGCCTATAAGTAGCACAAAAAATTTAAAATCAGAGTTGGGGGAAAGTAGGGGGACGCTTTAGCTGGCAAAAAAAAAAAAATTTTACCAGACACCTTACTATGTGTTAATAATCTACATTATTTCATCTAATTCTCACAATAATCTTATGAGACAAGTATCATATCCTCATTTTATAGGTGAAGAAACTGTCCAGGAAAGTTAAGTAATTAGCCCAAGGTCACATAGCTAGTAAAACAGCACAAGCAAGGTTAGTATCATGGCTGAGTAAGAAGACCACTTTGTATCTCCCCTTAAATTTACAAGTCAAACATTTATGCATAATCCAACAAAGGTTCCTCTGCTCAACGCACAAACACCTGAGAATCCAGGCATCAGTAAATCTAAAGGTGGGAGCATTAGAACACGCAGGGGAGGCAGGACAAAGCGAAGGATAGGGGTGTGGAGGAGGGCTCACACAGGAAAGGTGGCGTCTGCCTGCCGGCTGCCCAGAAAGGCCCCACACAGGGAAAATGGTGACTGTCCTCCAGCCCTTGCACAAAGCCACACACATCAGTCTGCCCCCTCAACCCACGTATGCCTCCAACGCCCCCTGAGTTACTGTCCCTCTGCCAGAGCCCAGGCACAAATACTTGGATTGGCTGATCAAGGAGGTATGACACTTTAAAAAGAAGTATGGCTTTTTCAGGGGAAATGGGATTCACTACGATTATTGAAGTACTGCAAGTAACTCCACTTCCAGAAAAAAAAGGCACCCTTTACAGCTTCCATCAATGGAATGAAATGAAAAAAAGAAATACACCTCTTGCCAACCCAGTACATGAGAATTATCAGAGATAATCTCATTAGATAGTCAATAGACTTTTCTTTAATTGTACCTGAAGTTTTTAGGAGATCTAAATTTTTAGGTTAGAATCTACAATGTCTTTAAATACACTATTTAAGCCATTCTACCCACATGGTGTTAAAGACTGTGAATTTCAATAATAGTAAAGGAAATGGGTTCTCTCCAAAAATAAAAAAAAGGAAACCGGGAAAGACAGGGATGGTGTTCACAGCCACAGTAGTCCCAGCTAACATGGCAGTGGTGGAGTTGAGTGCAGCCCCCACACTATGGTGGGTGGAAGTTAAGAGACACAGAAGCAGTGCCGGTGCCCAAGAATCTGACTCCCTATACTCTCCAGACCCCCACTGCTGCAGAGCCCAGTAGCAGCAGAGGAAATGTGGCTAACAGCACAGCGGTGCCAGCAGCCATTAGGAATAAGGGGGCAGCACTGTGGGCTCACGAACCCAGCTAGCTCCCTCCTACCTGCCACATCCCACAACTATGGTGATGCTGCCCCAAGACCAAGGCAACTCAAAGACACAGCAGGGTCACCCATCAACCCATACAGGTAAGAAAAAATAAAAACTTGCACTATAGCACCATCTACTGGAAAACAAAAGACCTCCAATTAGCAACCACTGAACTGTTCAAATCAAAACAGCAAACAAAATGAACCACTATCTTAAATGCAAAGGCAGAGAAAGAACCCATCAAGTACCATTAATAACCAAGGTAACAAGGTAACTCAAAAAGAAAATGAAAAGACTCCAAACTCAAAGACACGGAAGACTGTGATTTAAATGACAGAGGATGCAAGATTGCAGTTATTAAAAAAACTCAATGAGCTATATGAAAACTCAGAAAGGCAATTCAATGAGCCCAGGGATAAAATTAATGAACAAAAGGAGTACTTTACCAAAGAGACTGAAACTATAAAAAAAGAACCTAACAGAAGTTCTGGAACTGAAGTACTCAATAAATGAGATGAAGAATGCATTAGAAAGCACTGGAAATAGAGCAGACCAGATGGAAAAGAGAATTAGCAAGCTTTAAGATAGAAGTCTAGAAATGATTTAGGTGGAAGAAGAGAGAGAACTAAGAGTTTAAAAAACAAAAAATGAAAGAACTCTATGAGGACTATCTGATGCCGTTAGAAAGAGTAACATAAGGGTATTCCAGGAGAAGAGAGGGAGAAGGGAACAGAGAGACTATTCAAAGAAATAATTATTGAGAACTTCTCAAAACTCAGGAAGGAATTTGACATTCAAGTACAAGAAGTTAACAGAACACTTAATTATCTCAATACAAAAAGACCTTCTCCAAGACACATCATATTAAAACTGTCAAAAGTTAATGATAAAAAAAGAATTCTCAAGGCAGCCTGAAAAAAAAAAAAATACAGTAACCTACAAAGGAAACCCCATCAGATCTCTAAGTGGAAACCTTACAGGCCAGGTGAGAGTGGGATAATATATTTAAAATACTGAAAGGCCAAGAATAACATATCCAGCAAATTTATCCTTTAGATATGAAGGAGAAATATAGGCTTTCCCAGACAAACAAAACTGAGGGAATTTATCACTTTGAGACCTGCATACAGATTAAAAGGACCTCTACCTGAAACAAAAAGACAAAAGTATTCAACATTTTGAGTAAGGCAGACAGAAGCAAGAAATTTCAACTTTATTTCAGAAAAGCGTATTTAAAAAGGTAAAAGGGGAGGTGGGGGAAGGATTAAAAATAACTATAGCTACTGCAATTTGGTAATGAACACACAACATGAAAAGATAACTTGTGACAACAAAAACATAAAAGGGGAGTAGGAAAAGAAATTAATGTGTACAGGCAAATGAAGATAAGATGCAATCAAAAGAAAATGGACTATTTTATCTAGGAGACATTTTACACAAACCTTATGGTAGCCACAAAATAAAAAACCAGAGCTGAAACACGAAACATAAAAAAAAAAGAAAACAGAGAAAAACATCATAGGAAATCACCAAACTAAAATAGCAGACAGAAACATAGAGAAAGAAACACTGGAGATATAGAGCAACCAGAAAACAAAAGATAAAATGGCTATGTAAGTCCTCATATATAAAAAATCGTACTAAATATAAATGGATTTAACTCACCAATCAAAAAGCACAGAGTAGCTGGATGGGTTAAAAAACAAGAACTGACTATATGCTGTCTTCAGAAGCAAAGACAAACAGACTCATAATGAAGGGATAGAAGATGATACTCCAAGCAAATGGTATCCAGAGAAGAGCAGGTGTAGTCGTATTTACATCAGACAAAACAGATTTCAAGACAAAAAAGGTAATAAGAGACAAAGATGGACATTTTATAATGATAAAGGATAAAATCTATCAAGAAGACATAATTTATTAATATATATATATACACCCAACCTAGGAGTACCAAACTATATAAAGCAATTACCAATACACCAAAAGGAAGAAACTGACAACAATACAATTATAGTATGGAATCTAAATACCCCATTGACAGCAATGGATAGATCATCCAAACAATAAGGAAAGACCCCAAACAGCCAAAGCAATCCTAAGGAAAAAATAACAAAGCTGGAGGTATTATACTCTCCGACTTCAAACTATTTTAGAGTTATGGTAAGCAAAACAACATAGTATTGGCAAAAAACAGACACAGAGACTGATGGAATAGAATTGAGAACCCCGAAATAAACCCACATATACATGGGCAACTAATTTATGACAAAGGAGCCAAGAATATACAATGGAGAAAGAAGAGACTCTTCAATAGATGGTGTTGGGAAAATTGGACGGCCGTATGCAAAAGAATGAAATTAGACCACTGTCTTACGCCATACACAAAAATTAACTCCAAAGTGATTAAAGACTTGAATGTAAAACCTGAAAGAATAAAATACATAAAAGAAAACATAAGCATTAAGCTTCTGGACATTGCTCTCAGAGGTGTTTTTTGTGAATTTGACTCACACCTGTTAGAATAACCATTATCAAAAAGATAAGAAATAACAAGTGTTGGAGAGGACATGGAGAAAAGAGAACCCTAGTACACTGTTGGTGGAAATGTAAACTGGTGCAGCCACTATAGAAAACAGTATGCAGATTCCTTAAAAAGTTAAGACTAGAACTACCATATGACCCAGCAATTCCTCTTCTGGGTATTTACCTGAAAAATATGAAAACACTGGGCTGGTCAAGTGGCTCAGCTGGTTAAGAGCTCGCTTGGGAGCGCCAGCTCTGAGCAACAGGGCTGCAGTTCGGATCCCACATTGAGAGCCAGTGACGCTCACCCTCTACAGCTAAGATGATGAACAACAGCTCAACCTGGAGCTGGGCTGCCGTGAGTCGCCGGCGATGGCATAGGCTGCAGCAGGGCTGCAGTGGGCTGCTGTGAGCTACATGAGTGGCTGGCAGCCAGCGTGAGCTCGTAGCCAGTGTAAGCTACTGGGAGCCGCTGTGAGTGGCCGACCAATGACCGGCGACCGATTGCCTCACCCGGGAAGAGCACAATGATCATGCCAACATGGGCCAGTGAAGCGACGTCCTCCACAACTAGGCTGAAGAACAAAACAGTAACTTGTCTACCTGTCTGTTCCCCTTCCCTGATTCCCCAACGCTGTTCCCCTCCCCACAATTGCCCAATTTAAAAAAAAAAAAAATGAAAACACTAATTCATAAAGATGGATGTACCCCTATGATTACTGTACCATTATCTACAATAGCCAAGACATGGAAACAACCTAAGTGTCCATCAGTGGATGAATGGATAAAGAAGATGATGTAGATATGAACAATGGACTACTACTCAGCCATTAAAAAAAAAAAGAAATATTGCCATTTTCAGAAACATGGATGGATCTTGAGGGTAGTATGCTAAGTGAATACGTCAGATGCAAAAGGACAAAAACCATATGATTTCATTCATATGTGGAATATCAAGCAAAAAAGTAATAAATGGGGGCCGGCTGAGTGGCTCAGTTGGTTAAGAGCTCACTCAAGAGTTTGAGCTCTGAGCAACAGGGTCCCTGGTTTGATTCACGGCCCGAGCTGAGCTGCCGCTGAGCTGCCAACAGGTGGCAGGATGGCTCAGCTAAAAAAAAAAAAAGTAACAAATGGACTAACAAAACAAACTAATAACAGACAATAGAATGGTGGTTACCAAGAGGGGAAGGGCAAAATGAGTAAAGAGGGTCAAACATATGGTAATAGAAGGAAACAAGATTTTAGGTGGTGAGCATGCAATAGAGTATACAGGTAGTGAATTACAATGTACACCTGAAATTTATACATGATTAACCAAAGCTACCTCAATAAATTTAATTTTTTAAAAATAGCATAAGTCAGAATTCAAACCCAAATCTGAATCCAAAACGCTGACATTGTTTTTAACTACTGAAAGCAAAAAAATTAGAACAACACTGGAATAAAACATGGTTTCTCGACATACAAATCTACTGCCCTCACCAGCAAATCAGATTATACAAAGCATGGAATCCAAAGAAAGCGATACCATTACTGCCTAATAGCTTATCTCAACACACAGATACTTTCTATGCACTTCTTACTCAGGCTTATTTTGAACTTACTGCTTCGAAAGACTTCTGAAGCTGTTGCTTTTTTCTCAGCCTAATTTGTTGATTTACTCGATGTTTGACTTGTCTCTGAAAATGCTTCAAAGCTTCTTGTTTTTTTCTTAGCTGTTCCTTTAGTTCTTCTTCAATCATATACGCTGAAGTCTTTAAAGATGAAAGATAGAAAATGAACTTAAATGTCAGCAGTTTTGCCCATTCGGGCTCAAACAATCCTAAAAAAATAATTCAGTTCTATAATCCAAAATTCCCAGTAGAGTAGGGAAATCACAGAAGTTCAGAAATGATAATCTAGACATAGCTAGTGAATGCCAAGAATGTAAAGCAAATTGCAAACTAAAAATTGGAATTTATGAGTACTCAACTCAAATCTTAATTTGTCATTGAACTGAGAACAAATGGCATCTTCATTCATTTTTAATGAACCAATTCAAATCTATCTTATGTTACACATTTTCTAAAATGGGTAAAACATTCCAGATACACCATATTGTTCACTATTCACCAAATACGTCCTATTCTAAAATGCCTTCATACTCAGAATTATGCATCATTTTTAACTCAGCGTGCCCTCCATCTAGTAAAGGCCTACTCAGTCTTCAAGACCATCTAAAACCTACCTCCTAGTTAGTGCCTTCCACAATCCTTTCTTCCTCTGAGCTCTGTATATTATGGTACCTCAGATTAATGGTAATTGAATACAGTATTTCTTGATTCCTCCATTAGATTATGAACTAATGTATTTAATTCTCCTGTGTTTCCTCTGTAGTATGTAACACGGAACCTTGAATATGAAGGTACTCAATATTTATGTAATGCTTAACTCCAAAACATATTCTAAACAATTTGGAACATTTTATCCCATTTGAGTCCCTGATCGGTATTCACAAAGTTGTACCATTCTTCTTGAAATGCCATCGTCTTAGCACTTAATAATGCACTACCCAAACTCTTAAAATCCTTTCTGGAAATAGGCAGAGGAGGAATAAACGAATGAATACGTACATACATATATACAAACATAAATAAAATAAGTGGCTATACAACATTGCATTGCTATTTAACATTTACTTTAAACGTACCTCATTTCTGCTCTCAGATCTGGACTACTAAGTAAACTACCTCATATTTTTACTAAGTAAACATACCTCATACTTTTACCTCATGTTCAGCACCCTGTCTGTACATTCAGTAGACCTTCACACATTTTGTGCATTCCATAAATATTTACTGAATACCCATGTTTATTAGGCACTAAGATAAAGGTGGAGATGTGATGGTAAGACTTTTTTTTCCCTGTGCTCTAGGAGCTCACACTCCATCAGGAAAAGAAGAGGTGTAAACAATGTACTATGAATATAATGTGGTAAGTGCCACGATAAAATTTGAACAAATAGCTAATTGGAACAGTTTGGTGAAAGACTATAAAAAAATAACTTTCAAAATTGTCCTTGTGTTTATTAGTATGTATGAGTGTTATCATGTAAACAGGCACACACATAAACTTTGCAAAAGTTTCCCTTCAGATGAAATGTTCCTCCCTATCATCTGTATTCACAGCATAAACATTCCTCAAGGACCAACACAAGCTATATTTCCTCCTTCATTCATTCAACAAATATCCTGAAGACCTACTATACACCAGGATAGAAATGAACAGAA